CATTATGATGTTGGGGTGTGATTTTCAATTTAATCAGCAAGTGTGATTTTATTTACATTTATTTGATTAACTTTAGACCTGTTTGAACATATAACCCAACCCCACCCCTAAACCTACCCATTTGTGTATTATATAACATAAAACACAGTATATAACGGGCAGGTGAGGTTCTGAGCGAGCTTAGGCGAGCTGAGCCGATACAAAAATGTGACGTGAAAACAATGACGACTGCTGATTGGTCAGAGAGAATAGTCACCATCATTGCACGCGCCAGATGGAGCATCCAGAATATCCTCGCCATTTTTAAATAGTTTGGCCAGAGATAGTTTCTAAACTTACTACTATTATTATGGCAACTCGGAAGAATACGGCGTAGTCAAACGAGGAGGTGCATACTTTCCTTTGTTTGGTTGCCGAAGAGAGGATCCTGCGAGAGATTAATAGGGCAGCGAGGAATAAAAGGCGTCATTATGACGACCGGGTACTATTTGTGGCGCTACTGCCTGCAATTGAAAACGGTGTGAAAAGCAAGCCGAGTCGAGGCGAGCCGAGTCAAGTCAAGTCGAGCTGCTACTGGCAATGGAAAAGTGCCATGAGTAGATACATTTGAATTTGAACTTACTTTGCGACCACTAAAAAAGTATGTTCTATATAGTATGAATATTTGTAGTATGAATGTAATCCGCACTTACTCGCCTCCATTCATAAATCCTCTCCCGTGGCCTAATGGGATAGTAAAGTGTCCATCGTATGCACACTTCAGAGTCTCGCCAGAAGTAGCAGGTCATCTGGGAACTTTTCGCCTTACTGTTTTTTGAATACTATGTATTTAGACATACTACTCTTTTGGCGTGCTGGTTTTCCAACGCGTTCTCATCCCAGGGCGTCATATAGTGACGCTTTTGAAATTTCGTCTAAATCCAACACACATGGAACACTTTAGTGTCATTATAAAACGCACAGAACTTGGGTAGGTTTAGTTTTGGGGTAGGTTTAGGATTACACCACTAGGAGGCGCCTTCTTGTCCATATCTGTGTCTCATATTGACGCTAAAGGGTGCCATGTCAAAAGTGTCAGTATATGACGCCCTAGGATGAGAACAAGCTGGGTTTTCACATACTTTACTACATAGTAGGGAAGTATTTGATTTTGGACGCAGCGCTTATCTTTTGAACGAGATATGACTGCGTGCGTTTACAGAGAAGGATTACATTTATTAAATACGATATCGTAAATATCGTATTGCTTCAGAATAGTTATTTGTAATATCTTTATACAGTTTTAGGTCAATTTTTGCAATAAATAGCTGTGACTGTACTTTTATTCGCCTGTTAGGTGTTTTACAAGTGGGTATGGTTTAGGATAGGAGCGGGGTTATTTGCTACAGAATATAAAAGTGTAAATATTTATAAAATCATTTCTACTTTTACAAATGCAAAGAATGAAATGCGGCTTGATTTGACGCACAAGGCAAACAACTGAAAGCAATGGAGTATCCTGTGACACAACGAACAATGCTAAAAGGGTGCGTTAAAAAGTGACTCCGAGCATCAATATGTGACGAGTTGGGAGTGAGAAGTAAGTTTAGTAATTTATGAAGCTTCACCCGTCTCATCCACAGTCTTTTTCGTTGTATGGAAAAGAGCAGCAAGGACATTCGGTAACACTTTACTTGAAGGGGTGTTCATAAGACTGACATGACACCTTCATAACCATGACATGACATATGTCTTGAATATGAAGTAGGGTGTTTATGACAACTGTCATTAAGTAACTTTCGCTCAATAATGGCATTTTTCAATGCAAATATGACATTGTTTAAGATGTCTTTGTTATGACATCTTGACATAAACCATAACATCATAACCTCAGTGTCTTTGTCATGACAACTTGACATTAAATTAAGTTAAACTGTCATGTGGTTGGCTTTGACATTGGCTGTCATGAGGCATTATATCTGTGTCATGAATATTTTTCATAACCTCAACTAAAGTGGTACTAATTGAATTTGTCATTAAAAAGTTATAATGGCTTCATGACAGCCAATGTCAAAACCAACCACCTGATAGTTTAATGTAATGTTGACCAATAAAGCTAAGTGGTTTCTTAAGTTTGATATTTAATCTGCTATGTCATGTTTATGACAGGTTGTGTTGTGTCAAGATGTCATGACAAAGACACTGACAGGTTATGATGTATTGGTTTATGTCAAGATCTCAAACAATGTCATATTTGCAATAAAAATGAATGACAGTTCATGACAGTTGTCATAAACATGCATAAACTCTACTTAATATTCAAGACATACTGTATGTCATGTCATGGTTATTAAGGTGTCATATTAGTCTTATGCAAGTAAAGTGTTACCGGGCATTCTGCCTGTTGAAGAAGAAATAAATTCATACAGGTTTGCAATGACAAGAGGGTGAGAAAATATTGACCACATTATCATTTTTGGTCGAACTGGCCCTTTAAACAAGAAAGTGAGCAATATAAGCTAGATAAGGCAACCACTAAGGACCCCTCACTTAATCAGTTAGATATCATGTAAGCAAAGGAAACAATCCACACTCAACAACAAGTGCTTCATGATCAGATTAAGACCTCCGCAGCAGTTGCATCAGCACAATTCCTGGTAGGATTTGACTCAACAAAGCCCTCCGTACAGTAAACACACAGCAATCTTTCCAGCCAGACAACGAGCCTGTTAGGAGATCTCCGGCTTTATGAGAGATCAGATACCTTATCTCAAACAGACAACTGCTCGTCTTTTCAAAGGAAGCAAATAATTGAAGACAGTGGATTACAAGATTCAGGAGTGTCCAAACTCGCTTTGAATGTGATTCTTGTAAAATGACTTCTGAGTCACTTCCTCTGAAAAAAGAGTGGGAACAGCCTTCATCAAACAATAGGCTGTTTTGATCTATTGTCTAAGTGGTGACATCTTGACAGCAGCGGGTCCTAATGCTCGTAACATACTCGCTGTCTCTTCGAGCTTCTCACAGGATGCTCATTATGGCTCATGATGGGGATTGTCTGATATACTCTCAAAAAAGGCTCAAACTGATACTAGACTGTAGGTACTCCATCCTATTATATGATTCGTGTATTTCAATAACAACTACCAAAACAAGCATGTGCTCCTGCAATACATATTAACAACCTATACATTTATGACTGCAGTAAACGCTCTGCTGCGATTTTAGAATTGATGTGTTCACTGTAGAAGCATTGTTGTGCTGAGATGTTGACATTCACATCATAAACGGATTTATAAATGCATCGTTTCGGCCTTGGATGCTGATTGGTCAATTCAACGTTCTAGGCATATGCACAACCGTTTCAAACTTTAGGTTTAATAGGATTTTTTAGTTACACTTTATTTCAATGGTCCCTTTAACACATTCCGTTGACCATAAGTAACGTTGCATCTACATGTCTACCAACTGTACACTGTAAAAAATAAAACATACTTAACCTAAAATTTACAGTAATAAACCATTTTTTATTTTCTGATAAAATGTTGATTTACCAACTTATTGACGTATTGATATCTGTTTTAGACCATTGTAAAAGACCACTGACAACCAACAATCATCACAGTAGTGATGAGAGTTACATGAGCAATCACAGCTCATCACAAGTGAATACTTATATAAAGTACTAGTTATATAAAGAAGCTGCACAGTGTCATTCACAAAAACATTAAACACCTTCATGGTAACATATGAAATAATAAAAAAAAATACAATAAACATTAATTTAACAACATTGAATGTAACAAAACTCTAATGTACAGAACTGATTAGAAAAAAAACAAAACAATAAAACTACGAGGAACCATAGTTATTTCAACAAAAACTCATCAAATGTGAAGTGTCACACAGGGAATTGTGGGAATGTCAATTCAAATGGTTTTTCACTGCAAATTATACAATAATTTGTTATTTTTCACTTTCAAAAACTGTAAATTTAACGGTATTTTACTGTAAAATTATATCACAGTTATTTACCGTGTATAGTACGGGAACTTTCTATTAACTTTTGCACTGTAGCATTTTTGCAGTATTTTACCGTTAAAATCACAGTTATTTTTGTAAACTGGCAGGGTTAGGGTTAATAGAATAAGTTGACATGTAGATTCAGAGTAGTGGAGCATCAAAATAAAGTATTAACGGAATATTAATCAGACAGTCAACTAAAACTCTACTGAGAGTTAGTTGACATGTAGATGCAAAGGTACTCAAACAGAATATTCAAAAGAGACTACCAAAATAACATATTACCGATTTTTTTCTCTATTTCTTTTTTCATTATTCCCAAAATGCTGCATTTATTTGATTAAAAATACAGTAAAAACAGTAATATTTTGAAGTATTATTATATTTTAAAATTATTTTCAAACGTAATTTATTCCTTGCAAAGCTGAATTTTCATCGCCATTACTGATATTTTCAGTCCACGTGGTCCTTCAGAAATCATTTTAAAATGCTGATTTGGTTCTCAAGAAACCTTCGTTATTATTATCAATGTCGAAAACAACTGTGCTACTTAATTTTTGGTAGCAATCGTGATACTTGTTTCTTTGATGAATAGAAAACATTTATTTGACACAATTTTTTATTTTTTTTTTAATTTGTAAATGTAATAAAAAAAATGTAAGGACTATATAACTGGGTAGCTTTTATCAATTTTTTTTCAATAAAATATTTTTAATGACAAAAACATTTGTATTATGAAGTAACAATTTTATGAAAAAAGGCGCTTAGTTGAGCAGTATTTTACATATATATGGTCACGGCATGACCTCTCAATCGAAATTGCCAAAATCATCTAAAAAATAACATAACTGTCATAATTATTTCAAACCGTGTGTATAATAACTTAACAAATACAATAATGAAGAAAAATGAACATTGTGCATTGCTCACCAGAAACAGTCTATACAGTAGACGACCAATCAGACAGCGACATAAACGAGTGTTTACTCTCAGCTCACCTGGTCTTCGCTGATGTGGCACATGGCCAGGTTGTGCTCTTCATGGGACGGGGCTGTGCGCACATATTTGAGCCAACTTCCACTGGCCTCCAGAGCCCCATCCAGACAAAACTTCACATTGCCCATGTTGTCCATTACCTGGAGACAGAGAAACACACAATGCATTTTAAAGGGTGCTGTCATTAAAACATATCTGCAGACAGTGACTACGAGGATAAGTGATGTAATATGTAACAGACGTCATATAAAGGAGCAGCTAGTCAAACATGAGGTTACACTTTATTTCGATTGTCCACTTTAGACACTCTTTGCAACTATGTCAACTAACTCTCCTCACTGAAAAAAAAAAGATTTTCGCTGCTTGTTCAAATTGCTAGGTTAAAATGAGCTTAAGCAACACAATTGTTACACATTTTGTACAAACTTAATTTGATTGTGTTAAAAATACATGTAAAATTTAAGTTTACTTAATCCGTTTGTGTTGCATTAACTGACACTGGGCGGTGCTTGTTAGTTCCCAGCATGCTTTCCATATGTTAAAATATAAATGTTAAAATTAAGTGTTATGTTATGTGTTTTTGAGAAAATGAGAACGACTTGATAGTGCGTAGTTGTGTTTATTGTTCAATTGCATTGGAATTGTACAGTTTTCAGCAAATGCATTGGCTGATGAGCATGTAAAACGTATCATTTACGATGCTAAAATATGCTAATGGTATTAAATAGTTGGTTAGAATATAAGAATTTATTAGTGTGACACTAAATAAACTATATTGCATTGGATGAATGGATATATGATTTAGAAGACCTGAATCATATCAGTTGGTGTAAAACATTGCAAACTAGTTGGGCTGACACTATTAAATTAAGTTGTGCACAACCATAGTAAATAAGTTGAATCAACCTTACACTCTAAAAAATGCTGGGTTGTTTTAACCCAATTTTGGGTCAAATATGGACAAACCCGAAATGTTGGGTTAAAAATGTAATGTAAAAATTTAACCCAACAGCTGGGTTAGTCCATATTTGACCCAAAGTTGGGTTAAAACAACCCCGCATTTTTTAAAGTGTAATAAATTAAGTTGACCCAACGCAAGTACATTAAATTGGAATAACAGAACTGCACAATGCTGAAACAAAGCAAGTTAATCATGTGGAAATCCTTTCCATGATTATTATTATTTTTTTTTTTTTTTGTATGTTCATTCAACGAGTTCTTTTTTTTTTTTTGGTGTTAGACTGTTAGGGTTATAGGGTTCGGGTTAGTAGAATAAGATGATATGTAGTTGCAGAGTTGCTTGTCTGGTGTGGGACTTGTTAGCAGATATTAGTCTACTAATTCTCTATTGTCTGTTAATTAACATGTAGTTGCAAAGTAGACTGTCTAAAGTGGACTATTGGAATTACGTGGAACCAAAACATATTTACTTTATCTGTAGTTTATAAGAATCAAATCTACTTTTTTCTCTCATTGAAAGGGGGGATTTAAACATTGAAGACGTCTTCAATGCTGTGTGAAGCCTCAGAGGCTCATGTTGATTAACTTCTGGTTAACCTGACACTACTAGGGAAGTAGAGTTTGGGGTGTCTGGTTACTTGTCAAGGGAAACGGAGAGAGAGAGATGGAGGGATTGAGAGAGGCAAAGTGAGACAGGATGTCAGGAAATGACCGGAAGGAGAGTGGACGCTGTTCTCTCGTGAGATTTACGGCGCTCTTTTGTTGATATATTACCGAGCAAAAGTGAGAAATGCCACTGAAAGCTGTGGAGTCTCTCTTTGAAAACAGAAACTCTGTGTAAATGTTTGCTTCAGCTCTATGAAGTTGAAACCAAATATCAAGTGTGCCGTGAGCGATTAAGACAGAAACGGAATATCCGCACAAGTGGCGTGAATCCGTGCTAATAAATCTGTCTCTGGGCCCATGTTAGCCCTGAACTCCAGAGTGATTATATTCCAGCACATTAACACTCACAGTGGGCTGTATTTGGAATACGGATTTTAATCAAGACAAATGAGCTTCATGGCGAGTTCAAATAATTAAGCAATTAAATATTTTATTTTGTGTTGTTGTTATTTTATTTCTCACAAAATTGGATTGCTTAAAACTGTTTTTTTTGAGAAAAGTTCATCATATAAGGGCTTATGCACATTTTTTTTTTTCAGGTAGGAATGCTTGTTAAAACTTTGATTGTATGTCTGACCATTTGTGTTTGTACCTCTCAAAAAAAAATACACACACATTGATAACACTTTTCTGGGAGTCTAGGCATAAAATGCCCTATGAAGACATTCATGATGCTTTATGATTAAACAGCCATTAATTATTACTTTTACACGCCTTTTCATAAATTATGCAATAACATTTCAATACTGTCAACATTTTATTTTTTTACATTTTTTTAAATAAATATAAAAGGGAAAGTAAAATACATATTTTTTAATCAGCTTTTGCCTTTACTAATTCCTGTAAAAAGTTCAAAAATATAAGTATTTCATGTGGCCTCCCAATTAATATGGGCTCATGAAAGATGCATAATAATTTGAAACAAATTAGTAAACATTGTGTTTAAAACACTTTTCAATAAGTACGACAATTTTCTAAAATATAGCTCATGTTTACCACCAACTTATGAACGGTTACACCTTAAACAAGTATAATGCATTGTTGTTGATCATGTGTTAAACAATATAATCTTCAAACGGATCCCTATGAATGGGGATGTATTACAATGTCTTATAATGGTGACTTTCTTTAAAAATTTCAGAAGTTGTCTTGGGTGTGAGAGAGCAAGACACACGTGTGAAGTTTGTTGCTGGATAGGGACATGTTCACGTGTCAAATACTGAAAACTGAACAAGACTATAAGAATAATTCACCAATGTACACATTTCAAACATCCACAAATGAACAAGAATTTAAATCAAGATAAATGAGTTGCAAAATGGTACAGCATGCTAGACAAAAATGGAAAATATATATTTTTTTTAACACCAAGGTTTTAACACATGCATTTCTCGCCATCTAGATGTACACAAAAATCATTGATATGTTTATTTATGTATTTATGTGAGCTGAAATGATGTTCCCAAGAAGACGCCCGATTATGTTATGCAAATATGTCACTTAAATAGTTAATAGGAATAATACTGCAGAGTGAACACGATCTATTCATTCACAAATACACATATTCAAGTGAAGGTGAACTCATCTGTCTAAACAGGTACCACTCATGAGAAACAGGTTCTTTTGAGGAGGGATTGGGCCTGTAAAATGGTTTGCAAACACTAGTTCTCCAGGTGCAACAGTGATTTACACACATCGTAATAAGAGAAACATAACCTATATTTTTATTAGTGGCCTTTGCTAAGGCAAGCACAAGTATTATTATGGCATTTGAACAAACCTCTAACCCTAAGTATTCGAATTTGGCATGTGCGACAAACTAATGATAACTTAAATTGGCTGTGGCTTTCTGAGGAGAGGAGTGCTTTTAGTTTTCAGACTAAATATGATCAAATGATTTGCACATGGTGAAAGACAGAACAGGCTAAATAGGCAAATCAGACTTGCTTGAAAGGATATGTATACCCTAAATCACACCCTAGCAACCGCATAGCAACATTCAGGCAACCGCACAGACCCAGCCTAACTGGTGTCATAGTCACACCTTGCTGGAAAACTGCTTTATAGATGAAATGAAGTATATTTGATGACCTTTATAACGTACAAAATCAACACCAAACTGACTTCAGTTGAACAATAGAGCTGCTTTACAGCCAAAATGAACTCTGCTTTGAAACAATCTGTATTGTATAAAGCGCTATATAAATAAAGGTGACTTGAGCACCGCTCACACAGAAGTCACTATCAAACCAAGCAGCTTTCTGTTTGTCAACACAGCAAATCCGTGTGACCAACTTTCCCCTCACGTTAGATTCCTATTGAAACGACTGGATTTTGCCTGTGAAATGTAGCAATGGTAAATGTAAGTAACCACACCTTAATGAACTAACACTGCACACTGCAAGCGACTAAACTTATCTCTCCCATTATAATCAGTTAAGCTCTTTACAATACAAGCATACAGACGTGACATGATACATTCAAATCCAGGGGCGACTTGAAATCAGGTACGGTTTTTTCCTCTTATCTCACTCTCCCTTCTAAGTTTCAGGCCCATTTTCTCTCTCTTTCTCTGCTTTCCCGAAAGTTTGAAGGGTCAAATACCAGAGGGACGGCTCTCGAGTCTGCTTTGGGGTTAAGGAGCCCCTCTGTGCCGTTTTAAGAGCCCAATTACTCCCATCAGGTGTGAGGAACTGCCTTTGCAGACGAGCTGGTACAAAAACACACACACACACATGTGCCACTGGGAGTGTTTGTGCCACAAGGTGAAGAATAAGTGTGCTAAACAGCTCGAGCCAAGCCGTATTTCTAAAGCGTCGACACCTTCACAGGCTAAAACGGGCACGAGCGACTAATAGAACGTGATTTTAGTTAGTCTTGCAGCTGAAGAATAACACAACGAATGAAAGGAAAGAATGACCTCTGGAGCTAATATGGAGCTAATCAAAGACGGGAGAGAAAACCAATGAAATAGACAGAAACTTAGCTAACATGGTTTCAGGTTCACATACACACCCAACCAAATGATGAGCGCAGACACTTTTGTTCAGGGCCGTGCACAGACATTTTGAGGGGCAGTGGCCTTAGCCAAAAAAAGGGGCACTAAGGGGGTGGTTGCTTGTTAACACAAATTATTCAGTTATTGTTACAGTTTTACATTTTTTACATTATTGTTACAGAATTTTCCTTTTACAGCAAAAAAGGATGGGGAGGGGGGGTGTACTTAGGCTATTATTTGTATTAGATCGAGAGAGTACAATAATTTGATTAGACAAGCAGCTTCTAAGAACGTGGATATGTTGTACAAGTTGTTAGCACTAGTAGAAGACCAAGAGCAAAACATTACCGACATAAATGCACAAAAACAAACTAAAAAATAACGAATAATTTCGCAGATTCAACCACTGTCTATTATGGAAGCTTGTTTCCGCCACTGAATAAAAATAAAAAAAAATAAATAATTGCGACTTTTTATCTCAAAATTGTGAGATATGAAGTCAGAATTGTGAGAAAT